TTTTAATGTACCCAATATTGATTGGGATCTTTGTTGTAGCAGACAGGGCTGTAGTAATCATGTTGCGAATAAGTTTTGTGATCTCGTAAATGATTTTAATCTATCACAACTTGTTCGGGGTGGTACACATGTTAGTGGGAACACTCTTGATCTCATTTTTTACTAACCAACCTGAAAAGATGTTTAGCATAGAAATATGGCTTGATCATTCTGATTCTGATCATTTACCAGTTGTTTGTAGTATGAGGGTTAATATTCTGCGGCAAACTGGTGTACCACGCATTGTTCATGACTATGCCAAGGCTGTTTTTGATAGCTTGAAGTTGTTTCTTGTAGACTCACTAGGACCTGTATCCGATTTTGTTTTGCGTCATTCGCAGGCTCCGAAAGATTCACTTGACATTGATTTTGATGTGGTCAGAGTGGTTAGCCATATTGTATGAGGGCCAGGATAGGTTTATCCCCACCAAGACCATCAGTGACCATTGTCGACCTCAATGGATTGATGGAGAGGTTAAACACCTTTCAAAGTTCACGCTGCTCGCCGAAATTTTAATTCCAGAAATACAGTCTCAAATCGTCATAAATGCATACCTCCCAAGTGTGAAGGACCGAAATGCTGGTCCATAATGGGGGGTGCGTAGAAAACGATTGATTTCCTTATCATTTTATTGACCGGGTGGTGGAATTTTAATTTAATTACATTGATTCATAACACATTATTACGCGTGGGTGGAGAAATAACGTGTAAATCCCGTAATGCGCAAATTGCGGTTTTTTTCATTTGCTTGCAAGTCCGTGGGTTTTGCTATTCAAATGCGGGTCACTTGGGAGCTATGAAATATCGTTCGTTAAGAAGTCAGTTACGGAAGTTGACCGGGATAAATACAGTATGTATGCTAATGGGCTTGGAAGTGTTGTGAATAAAAACCAAAACCAGTTTTGGAATTTCTTTAAATCCAAAACAAAGTGCAAGTCATTACCTAAGAATGTCTTTGTTGATAATAACTATTTTGATGACAGCTGGTCAAAGGCTGACGCCTTTAATAAGTATTTCTCTTCTAACTTTTCTAAAGTTGAAAGTCCTATTATTTTTTTCAGACATTCCTCATTATGTAAATCATGAATGGGAATACTTTAATATTCTACCTGATGATGTTTGTTCCGCAATTAAAAGGATTGGTTTAGTCAAGGCCTGTGGCCCTGATGGAATATCAACTCGTGTATTGAAGCCTTGTTCTGAAGAGCTTAGTTTTTCATTATCACTCCTATTTAATATCTTCTTGCAATTAGGTAAGTTACCAGTTGATTGGAAATTAGCTAATGTGGTCCCTGTATTTAAGAAGGGAGATAAGCAGAGTGTCGCTAACTATCGGCTAGTGTCTTTATTATCAATTGTGTCAAAGGTAGGGGTGTCAACGTTTACAATTTTTTTCTACACGTGTAAACGGGACTTCTAACCGACGTGTACCCGGTTACACGTCGGAGATTTATGATCTTTTTCTATTGCAGTTGCGCTATATAACCACTAGAGGGTTCTGTCTCCATTCAAATACTTCCTAATCCCATTAATTCAAAGCCATTCCCGTAGTTATCAGACAAAAACGTTTATTCAGCGAACAGAACTTAAATAGTAGGCAACTCATCTCACCATTTTAAGGCTTAGGCCTACTTATGACAGAAAGTAAAATGAGTTGAAAATAAAATTATCTATCATTTTGACAGACAAGAAAACGTACAAGTGAAAGCTGAAAAAGGTTTAACCTTCTTTTTTAATCATTGTTTTAACTATTGCTCACTTTTGTACAATATTTTTTTTTAAATTAAAGTGCAAACTGCATCCCTCTCTCGCAACGGGAGCTGCGTCTGAATTTTAATATACGTCTCATAGTAAAAGTAAGCTGGAATTGGCGAGAGAAAGCAACTCAAAAAGAAGCCAAAGTAAGCTGAATTGAGAGGAAAAAACTTCGCCTTTATATCCACAAAGTTAAAAAAGTAGAGGGGGGCTCTCACAATTATTCACTAAAATTGGCGAAAAAAATGTTTTCTTTCTCTTTAGACGCGAGGATATGTGATCAGGTCGTCAAAAGCCGACAGAACACCAACCAACAATATAATGTACAACAACACGCAACAATATAGGCTAAAATAACAATAACAATAACAGCTGTTGTAAGCCAGCTTTGCCTGACATAGCCTACACTCAACAGTATTTCCACTGGCAGTTTTTCGAACAAACTGCCACACGGTGTTCGCTTGTTGTTCGCCACCATCGCGTCCCCGAGTCAACTTGAAGTGACGCGACACTGGCTGTGGCTGCTGGGTTTTTTTTTTTTTTTTTTTATATCAACGTAACATTGCGCCCCATGCATCTGTATGCGGATAACTGCACTAGTGGGAACATTTAAGTGTATATTTAGTTATTGTTATCATCTGAAGCTTTCAGGCAACATTATCACCCCTAAAAATACTATATATATTGGTGAGAAATGAACGAGGAGGAGGAGGAGGAGGAGGAAAAAATGACGTGTGCACGGTTATTGATTTTTCTAAATGATTATGATTTGTTATCCGTCTACCCATTTACACGTGTAGATGTTGACACCCCTAGTCAAAGGCCATGGAGCGCTGTGTCTATAATAAAATCTTTCCTGTTCTACATCCTTTGATCTCCTCATGCCAGCATGGTTTCATGAACAAACGCTCTACGGCCAAGCAGTTGACTCAAACTCAGCATCGTCTGAGTCAAGTCTTGGACTTGGGTGGTCAAGTCGACGTGGTTTATTTGGATTTTAGTAAAGCATTCGACACTGTCCCATAACCTACTTCTTTACAAGCTCCAATCTTTTGGGATGGGAGGTTGCCTCTTACAGTGGCTTACCTCCTATCTTTCTAATAGGAAACAAAGGGTTGTTGTCGAGGGGTTTGAGTCGTCCGTTTGTAATGTCACATCCGGCGTACCGCAAGGGTCTATTCTTGGTCCCTTATTATTTGTATTGTTTATAAATGATTTACCCTCTGTTATTGATAAGAATACCTTTATGGATTTGTTTGCTGACGACCGTCAGATTTATAGAATAATTTCAGGTCACGATGACAATTTGAGGTTACAAGAGGACATTGAGAAATTATTTGAGTGGAGTGATACATGGTGCATGAGTTTTAACATTATCAAGTGTGAATTTGTGCAAGTTAGTAGGAAGCGTAGCCCTTCTTGTTTTATTACAATATGGATGGAAGGGTCCTCCGTAAGGTAGTCAATGTGAAGGATCTCTGTGTCATTTTCGATTCATCTTTATCATGGGGCAAGCATATTGATACAATCACTAATAATGCTAATCAAGCATGGGGAGCCATAAGAAGAGTTTGTGGTGGAAGGGCAACCCCGGATGTGTATGCTACCCTTTATAAAGCATTGGTGTGGAGCAAATTAGAATATTGCTCGACAGTATGGGACACACACACTAAAAGAGATCTAGAGTCACTGGAAAAAGTTCAGAGACGTGTCACACGCCAAATCCTTGACTCGGGTCAAACTTATGTCGAAAGGTTAAATAAGCTAAATTTACTTCCTCTTTTAGGAGAGAAATGGCTGATTTGTCATTTTTTTCACAGTTGTTTGGAAAAAAAATTTGATTTAGACCTGAATACCTTCTTAAGTCCAGTAGTCCGAGGTGATGATCCACTCAAATTTAAAGGTCCATTTTTTCATAAGGAGCAGTATGGTGCTAGTTATTTTAATAGGGCTTGCAGGCTATGGAATGGTATTCCATTGCCTGTTAGGGCCACGTTCTCCTTGAAGTCTTTCAAAAATCAGGTATTTGAAATGTATAAATTAAGAGTTGATTCTGTTGATCTGTCCCATTCTTGTAACTTGGTTATTGTCGCTGCTGAAGATGTAGGCCTGCCTATATGCGACTTTTATAGGATTTTATGTATTATGATTTCATGATTTTGGGAGCCAGTGATACAGGTTTTATCCTTTGTGGTTATCCCTTGGATACAACTTTCTGTATTGAACCTGAACTTATTTTATATTGTGTCGATTTGTGTCCATGTTTTTAATTGTGTACTTTGTTATGTTTAAATTAATTGTTGTATCCATAAAGCTTGATCAAAAAAAAAAGTGTTGCTATTCACAACTTACCCTGCCTCGGGGAGACATTTTAGATATTTGGGTGTTGAATAACCTGGGACTCCCTTCCAATTTGACCCTTACTGCTAGAAAGCCCAATGCCGTCACACCATAGTGTCGTGCATTTTTGGAAGAATTGTGAAAGCATGTTTTGAATCCAGTTAAAAATTAAATAGCTTGGATTTAAGGAAGTTATTGTGGAAAAAGAGAAGTTAGGAGCCAAGTGAATCAGATGACTATTGGACCTTTGCATACCTTTCCTGAAAAAAACTTGTTTGAAAAGCTCACCTTTCCTGAAAATTTTGTGTAATTTGATCAAATCATTTCTGTGCTAAACTACAGACGGACAATAAGACATATAAACAAACAAATGCCACTGAGAATACCTCTGGGCTTTCCTTGAGCGGGGTAATTCATTTGGCCAGGTAGTTTTAGATCTGCTAATAACATTTATCAGATGGGAAAGAATGAAATGGAATTGCAGAGCAGAAAATATTTATCTTTAAAAAATCGATGCCTTGTAATTTACTTCTCGTGGCAAAGATTGATAAATATATAAATAATATTTTTAGAAAAACCTTTTTTTTTTGGTGCGTTTCTTACATCCCAGTTACATAAATTGTGTTTTAAAAAAACTAAATATTAAAACATTTTTTCTTCTGGGTCTCAGAAGGTTATTTGTATTTTCCTAAGGCTATATGGTGCTTTGCGCTGTGTTTTTCAAAGCAAGTGTCGGTCAGCATTCAATCATAAACTCGTACCTCGGGGCAGTTTATATTCTCCAACTAGCCTTATGTGCATTTCTTAGGACTGTGGGATGAAATTGGATTAGAACCCAGCAGACACAGGACGGAACATGCAGGCCCCACACAGGCCAGTTTTCAACCCACAACGTTCTTGCAGTGAGGCAACAGCGCTACCCACTGTGCCACCGTGCGTTTAAGGGCTTTAGTGATGCACTATTTTGAATGCTGGAGTCAGTCATTTAAACATGCGTAGCAAAACAATTATCATGACAACAGGAGAATTCTCTAACCATTCATTTTTGGCTTGTTTTGTGGGAACACACAAATTATTGCACTATGACTCACAAGAAAATACAAATGCATTTAATTGTTTTATTTCTTCCTTTATGGAGACAGCAATTATCTATGTTCAGTGGTAGTTTATTACCTGCATATTCTCTGGGTCATTCTCCAGTTCTTTTGCACTTTGATGGCCCGTATATGACATTGTGCTCTTTCTGTTGTGGTTAATGGAAAAGTCTGGGAGATGAATTGTCGGGTTGACTTCCTGCTTGCTCAGTGGTGCAAATAATTTTATCAGGGGCTGGCTCATTCTGCTGAACCAAAAAATGGTGAATTCCAATTTCCAATATCAAATATAGACAGGTCCCTCAGCTTATTTAACATTGCATTCTGCCCAGAGTAGATGTGCTGCAAAGTAGAAACCATTTGGGCCTGGGGAGGAAGTGGAAAACCTCCAACCGTGGACAATTCTGTGTGTCATTGTTGCATGACCAAGCAGAGATGATTGTTAGGGATTTAGCTGATGGGTAGTTGAGGCTAGATGCTTAGCTAAGCCGGAGACGAATGAAAGGGGGACTCTTTCATGATCATAAATAAAAACTTGATTTGGGGTCATCTTTTGTGTGTCAGACTGTGTTGAAGCTACAGGAAACGTTTGGGATTCACTCACTTCAGTGAAGCCTGTGTTTCCATTTTACTGGTGATGGCATATTGCGCGCGCGCGCACACGCGACACACACACACACACACACACACACACACACACACACACATGCACACACACGTGTACGCGTGAATGTATGTACCCTGAGTGGTTCATCTGAATGTATGTGTCCTGAGTGGTTCATCTGAATGGTTATGTCCTGAGTGGTTCATCTGAGTGTATGTGTCCTGAGTAGTTCATCTGAATGTATGTGTCCTGAGTGGTTCATCTGAATGTAAGTGTCCTGAGTGGTTCATCTGAGTGTATGTGTCCTGAGTGGTTCATCTGAGTGTATGTGTCCTGAGTGGTTCATCTGAATGTATGTGTCCTGAGTGGTTCATCTGAGTGTATGTGTCCTGAGTGGTTCATCTGAGTGTATGTGTCCTGAGTGGTTCATCTGAATGTATGTGTCCTGAGTGGTTCATCTGAGTGTATGTGTCCTGAGTAGTTCATCTGAATGTATGTGTCCTGAGTGGTTCATCTGAATGCCAGCCCACAGTGCGCTGCCGTTCACCAGACGCCTGCTGCTTATTCTGGCCGCATGTCTGCTCTCGTTTTCCATCGGTGTAATTAAGCGCATTTTGTTTCTGCCCATGGCTTGAACACGCGAACAGCTGCCACAATTGGTGATTTTATTTCTGAAGGCTGCACAGCAGGGCTAAAGCCTGAATTCCTCTTGAGTCTGAGGTCCTGGGGATCCCTTGGGGTTGTCTGTTTTGACGCTCCTGTGACAATGGCAGATCCCGTGCACGGGCATTGTCAATTTCAAACGTTCTCATGGCAGATCCCCCGTGATGATCTGTCCCGGAGGTTCCCATGACAATAGCAGATTCCCTTTGCTAATTAATCCTGAGATTCCCTTGAGAGATTGACTATCCCTTGGCATTATCTGCCCTGGGGATGGTCAAGTGAAGGCTTGGCATCCAAAAGCAGCCCACATATATTCAGCCGGCTGATAACTGTGCTGGGAGAGAAAATTAGTCAGACACATCAGAATTCCTCACCATATCCAGGTCTGTGTGTACACACCTCCTCCTTGTGACAGAACATTATGTAACTGCAGTGCATTAGCCCTTTTAATAGGCTTTATAATTTTTTTTTTTCCTAATTCTGAGACAGTTTTCTGGAACTTGTTCAGGTAGGACTACATTGAGTGTCCAACAGTTATTGTTACATCAGCATTGTAATACTCAGTTAGGAAAATGTGATATTACGCCATAAGACACAAGAAAGCGCCTACTTTGAAAGTTGTGCTGCACTTTTTACAGGTATTTTTATCCATGAATTATTTTGTGTATATGCTAAATGGTTTTGTGTGCCATTTATTTTTGGGAATAAGCCAACCCAACTGGTATAAGGAGTTTAATAAGCCTCATCTGTCTATTTTTTGTGACAAAATGAGAAGTCGGTGGCCCTCTTTGCTCTGTCCTGAGAAATGGGGTAGCAGAAGCTTCTCTGATGATGTGGGATTTTGCTGGCTAAACATCTCATAGAAACTCTGTTCAGATTCTGTGGTTGTTTTCCATTGCGGTTCAGCATAAAATTTTACATTTTGCGTTGGGTTTTCTTGTCAAAACATGGTCTACTGCGCTACTGTGCTGGCATTGACTTGGGGTTTGCGTTGCCATGGAAATTCAGAACTCTGATTTGGGGATCCATTCAAGCAAGAGAAGCTGCAGCCATTTTTCTCCTGTTTACAGTGGGCACTGTACAAACTGAAGGGCAGATTGAGGCTGTATTTGATATCACCGAGAATAATGACTTTTGGCTGCAGCTTCCTAGGATTCCAGAAACTATATTGAGCCAGTGAAGGCTGCAGTCTGTGTCGGTCTGGGAGCACTGTGCAGAACTGTGCGAATTGCAATAAATTGTCAGATGAAATGCCCCATGGGTGTCAACAAATTGAAGATTAAGCAAAAGATATCAGACAGCATCCTGATTTATTGTTTTTTTTTCTAGAATGCAGGTTGAGAAAATTATGTAGCCATTGTCTTGTCTTTGGAGTCCCAAGCCTTACTTTGATATCCTTTTGTTTGGCCAACACAGGCATACTACTGTATTTTTCCTTATTTTTATTGCTATATAATGCTGTATTTATGCTCGCTGTTAAGGGATTCACTGTATTAATTGAGTTTGTCCATGAAAATGGTTGCTTTTACAGTATTTTGTAACAGAAATTGGTCATGGTCAGTTCTTGAAGATCAGGTTTCTCAAAATGTCTGACTAAATATATTTCCTTATGAGGCTCAGTGAAGCAGATTGGCAGGTTGCTTCTCAATTTCTAGCAGTTCAGGCTTGTTTGATGTGTTCAATCTTAGAGCACACTCCGTTCTGCAGAGGGGTTTGCTTCACTACATTTTAAAAACATTGCTCACATTTTTGAGAAGGTGAGACATGATTTCCTCTCAGTCCTTGGTACGTGGTATGTAACGGCATTTTGCCATATTCGTTTCACGATTTAAAAACCGTTTTAACAAATGAAGGGCCACTCATCATTGCATTTCTGAATAGCATCCAAGACTTAATCACGACAGCATATGATGTGTTGAGTTTATGTCCTGTCTCAGTTAACTGGGGAGAACAGTGATGTATCTGCTTTCGGCCCTGGGACTGCCGCTCTGGGGTGCGTTTCCCAAAATCACAGATGCTAACTTACATAGTTGGGCCCATTGACTGTGAGTGGACGAACTATGTAAGTCGCTAACGTAGCCAGCAACTATGCTTTTGGGAAACGCACCCCTGCTCAGCTTTTGAATGGAATGGACAAGAATGGAAGGGGCATGATATTGCTGTGCTGGCTGAGTACAGGGCATAAATCTAATGTTATGGGCGAACACAATAGTGTGCTCCCATTATTGATGCGTGCCTCGAGAACAAAGCATAAAATAACAGTAAATATTTTTCACTGGAGGTAATTAGCCGTCTAGGCTTCATTTTGTTCTGGTGTTGATGGGGTTGTTGGCAGGAGGGACTGCTGGGGGCTGCTGAAGTTGATTAATTTTCAGAATGATGACGGGGTGTTGAGCTCCAGCCTGTTCTTCTCGGCTGCTGTGTGGAGGGAACCTCAGGGCCGCCTGCCTTCACACAAGGGCCAAAATAAACGGCACTCCAGCTGTTTATCTAGGTACTGTCTCGCCCATGACACACTCGTATACACGCAAAGGCAAATACGTGAATGTACATGCACATGCACACACGTGCACGCACTGTCCGGGCAGACGCAGGCACGCACAGAACACAGATGCATGCATGCTGACGCACAGGCACAAACACGAATGCGCATACTCATACTCTTTATCTGGTGTCATGCTACTGTTGTTGAACCCCGTCCATTATGGAGCTTGCTTACGCACTGCTCATGTGTCTCTCAGCAGTAGGGCCTTCTGTTGGATAGTTTGAATAGCAGTGAGGAAGGCTGGGCCTGTATGTCAGACGAGACAGGCTGTGCTCGGCCTCCAGCAGGGCCAGCTCAGACTGAGATCAGGGCTGAACAGCCCGTAGTGGCCTGGATCCGCTGGATAAAGAGCAGCGGTCTCTGGGCTCCCTGGTCTTGCTGCCCTTTGCCGCTCCCAGTCAGAACTGGTTTCATTCACAAACATCAAAACCCAGGCGGCTGCTGCCGGATGAGACCCAGCCTTTGTGTCGCTGCCTCCTGAATCAGCCCTTTGTGCAAATGCTGAACCTGGAGTCTACTGAGCCAGCTCTGTCATCCAGAATCAGGGCTACGTCGTGCATATTTAATGCTAGGAAAGGCTAGCCACTATGCTCATGGCCTGCGCTGGCGAGAGGACGCCTTGTCTCACGTTGTGGCTTTTGAACACTCGAGTGCAGTTCGAGGTCAGATCCTCCACTTCCAGCCAAACTGGTGGTGTTGCGTTTGTTGTGTGCGTACTACTCTGAAGTTCAAAGCTTATCACTGGGAAACAAACCAACTGTAGCACCAACTATAGCCCTGAGTGGGGTTCCCTCCCTTAATACAGGTGAGCAGTGAATTACACATTTCACCTCCCTCATCACCCAGTGAAGCTTTTTTACTTTAAACCCGTCCAATGGAACAGCGGTTACATGCTTATCAAAATAAATGATTTACTTTTGTATTTATTCATGCAGAAAACACAGGAATTCATGTTGGCTTCTGAACCATTTTGATATTATGCACAGTGGTGAAAACATTATTCTTTTTTGGCAGATAACCTTTGTGCTTCCC